GTAAGGTGGCCCTCGATTTCAAAAATGCTCTTTATAGAACCTACTCAATTTTAGGCTCTTGCTCCAAGTTGGGGCCCTATTAAGGTGGGGGGCCTAGGGCAATTCCCTCCCCCCCTCTCTTGGCGGCCCTGACTGTACATGTGATTATTTTGATTATAGCTAAATAGAATATGCAACCCTAACGTAGAATGTGTTATATTTTGAGTGTATACCATATTGCTAACCCATTGAGCTGAATTGTGCCCTACTTTGTTGTTTTACTATCAATATTTAAAACATGGCTTGTTTTGGCAAGACATGACATCCTTTTGGTTTTTCACATATTGAATTTGACAGAATGTCATTTCTGCAATATATCGAAACAATGCCATTTCTTTGATGTATCGAAACCATGGATAGTTTAGAGTTTTTGACATATTGAAAAAATGGCAATCTTTCGATATATCGAAGAAATGGCATTCTTTTGATATATTTAAGAAATGGCATTCTTTCGATATATCGAAGAAATGGCATTCTTTTGATATGTTGAGGAAATTGCTATCTTTCAATATATCGAAGAAATGGCATTCTTTCGATACCGGTATATCAAAGCATTGGATAGTTTAGAGTTTTTGATATATCGAAGGTGGCATGTGCCATGTTCTTGATATATAATTTTCACTGACTGTGGCTGCCTCCAGACATGTTTTGGAACTATAACATTTTCCTCTTTTTTTCCCTTTTATTCACATGCCTTTTACTCACTTTGCTAAAAACAATCAATTTTGCACAAAATTTTTAGCAGTTTTTTCCTCTTAGAGATTAGTATCATTTTAGTCATATCTTGCAACTTGGAAAAGCTAAAATTGTTGCAAAATGTGTATGTTTTTGTTGAGTATATTTCCAGTCATTTTCAACATGCATTTGATGTGATTTTCCTACTAAAACATGAAATCTGTCATTATCCACATTTGCAATTATTCTTATGTTTTTAACCAATTTTTATCATGTTTGAAAAGGAATTCTTGTTTTCATGCAGAATTATTACATTTATGTATAATTTCTCCACAGTCATGGCTGTATTCATTGCATTTTTTAGTGTTTCCTTTCATTTTCCTCTCAAATTCTGTTAAATAGAATATTGGACCCTATAGTAGAACGTGTTAGTATCACTGGAAAAAATAAGCCACATATTGTCGATTTTGCTCGGTTTTAGTGGAGATTGTCATATTAAAATATGCCTACATAGGTAGGCTGTCAAATTGGTAAATTGCATGCATTTCCATGGGCGTTCTGAATACGAATCTTGTTATCGTTCATATGCAGAGCAATTCAGATGCAATAGCACGCTGAAGTTGGATTAGTTGGATTATTTTTGATGCACCCTGTAGAGAACAATTGAGCAAATAATTATGAGTCCGATAAAAATTGTTTGTCGAAATCTCATATATTCTCACCGCTACGCCTAATTAAAGGAGTGTATAAAAGAAGGTATTATATTTATATATATATATATATATATATATATATATAGGTGTATCAAAAAACCTGCTAACTAACCCATTGAAATACAATGTTTTTAGAATTTGCATGACTCAGAACTATTTGATCTCAAGCGTACTTATAGTAATTTCTATCAACGCGGTTAATTAAGTTAGATGGGCAGTTCAAATCTCATGCAGGAGCAAAATAAATAGCACATAGAGGGTGAGTAAAAAAACCTGGTACCTTCGCGGCTAATTTAAACAACAAAGGTGTCAGTTTTTTTACTCACCCTGTACATTGAAATGCTAGCAAATTACTAACGAATTATGCAAATTATATATAGTTGTTTGCAGGTATTTTGATACACACTGTATTACATGGTTTCTTAAGAATGGAGCAACAACATTATATTAATATATTGCGTGGTTTCTTAAAAACGGAGCAACAACTTATTATATTGATATATTGCATGGTTTCTTAAGAACGGAGCAACAGCATATTATACTGATAAATTGCATAGTTTGTTAAGAACGGAGGAACAACATATTATATTGATATATTGCGTGGTTTCTTAAGAACAGAGCAACAGCATATTATACTGATAAATTGTGCGGTTTCTTTAAGAACGGAGCAACAATATATTATATTGATATATTGCGTGGTTTCTTAAGAACAGAGCAACAACATATTATACTGATAAATTGTGTAGTTTGTTAAGAACGGAGCAACAGCATATTATATTATATATTGCGTGCAGGTTTCTTAAGAATGGAGCAACGGCATATTATACTGATAAATTGCGTGGTTTCTTTAAGAACGGAGCAACAATATATTATATTGATATATTGCGTGGTTTCTTAAGAATGGAGCAACAACATATTATACAGGTAAATCGTGTGGTTTCTTTAAGAACGGAGCAACAATATATAGTACTGATATTGGTTGCGTGTTTTTTTTAGAACGGAGCAACAATATTACTGATATTGATATAGGCTAGCTATTGCGTGGTTTTTCAAGAACGGAGAAACAACATTATATTGATACAGTATATGTGTGGTTTCTTAAGAACAGAGCAACAACATTATATTGATATAGCAAACAGCATATTATAATGTTTGAAGTTATTATAGGTTCACAATCTGTAAATCATTTTCACGAACCGTACGCTTCGTACAGTCCGTAAAGCCATTTCACAGTTCGTACGGACTGTACGGATTTGTCGGATCATGAATCGTCTTACGAGCCATACGAACGGTACTTCGAACTGTTGGTAGATCTGGGCAACAAGCATCTGCTATTGGGGACCACCTATTGTGTTTACGAGTTGATACAGATCGTGACTCGTGTTAACCGTCCATACGAATTTGACGGATCGTGAAGCTGCTTCATGATCCGTATCATGTCGACAGTATTGGACATGTATGCAAGTTTGCCCATTGAGTCCATTCCACGACTGTTGCAATGTTTGTCATAAAGCTTGCATGTGCAATTCTGATGCATCTGGCTGCAGTCAACCAGTGCCTATATTTGATTATTTACCAGAAAGTTTGGGTGATGATGATCAAATAAGAGATGTCAGTGTTGAAGAAAGAGAATGTTTATACAATGCTCTCAAAGAAATGCAACTGTCCTTGTCCTGTCAAGCCAAGGTGGCAATGTTTGATTCCACTGGCATCCTCACTCATGGGCTTTCTGATGAACTGATTAATACAATTGTGAGTAATGTTCAAACTATTTTTAATGTGTATGATTTGATGGAGTGCTATACTGCTCCTTCCTTGAAGGTTACAGTCATAACTCTTGAAGTTATTAATTTTTAATGACATTTTAATACCAGATGAACTATATACTAGTGTGAAGCTACCACAGGATTCAACACAGGCTTCAACCGCACTTTAGCTCTCACCGAAATGAAACACTGTGAGGTTACCACCACATTCGTTCACAGCACAATTCATATTATGGCAAATCCGTAGTACTTTAGATTTATTATGGACATGGCACAATTAGATATATAGAAAGCCTATAACCTATATATTATGAATATAGAATGTATAGAGTGGCCCATATTCATGCCTCAACTGACTTAACGTCACAAGGCAGACTTTTTAAAAAGGTATATCCTGCACTGCTCCAAATGCAGTGGAACCAGGGACATGATGGGGGTATTGAAAAGGATGACGACCAGGGACGTGATCAGTCTTGAAAAGGACAAGATGGTTTCTATCCAGCAGGTCCCTGAGTAGATAAGTAGATTCCATAAGAAATGTCCGGTGTAAACTTGTCTACTTGTCTTGTAAACGGTGTCTAGAGAACACTATTAGATGGTGCAGTACAGATATGGAATTTACAGAGTGGCACAAAGTCATGCCTAAATACTGCACCGCTGCAAACGCAGTACTAACTGACGCCGGAGATTCAAAAATGCATATAATTTATTTACGTCTTTGCTAATTCCATTGCACACTCAGGAAAAACTCCAATTTTCATGTACAGAAACAGCCGATATATAATTGAATATGGTATTTCTAGAAAGGCTCAATTCTACACGGCTCCAAACACCAGCCTGAGATTCAAAAATGAATATGCTTACGTGATTGCAAATTCTTATTGCAATCACATTGCACACTCTGCAAAAACTTGCGATTTTCAGGTACAGAAACAACCACCATATAATTGAATGTGGCATTTCTAGAAAGGCTATAGGAGTATAGCTTATAGATTATGAACATGGAATTTATAGAGTGGCCCATATTTATGCCTCAATTCTACATGTCTCCAAATGCCGGCAAGAACGTCAGCCTGGGATTCAACTAAACAGCATGCAATTAATGACTAACGTCTCTGACTCTGGAATTATTATTCCATTACTGCATTAGGCATTACGCACTTTGACGAAAGACTCGCGATTTTCAATTTTTCATGTAGAGAAGCAGCCGATATATACGATAGATGAATATGGTATTTCTAGAAAGCTTATAGCTTACAGATTATGAATATGGAATCTATAGGGTGGCCCATATTCATGCCTCAATTCTGCACTGCTCCAAACGCCAGCCTGAGTTTCAAAAAGGAATATAATTGATACGTCATTGCAAATTCTTATTCCATTGCGCACTCGGGAAACACTCACGATTTTCATGTACAGAAACAGCCGATATATAATTAAATATGGTATTTCTAGAAAGGCTATAGCTTATAGATTATGAATATGGAATCTATAGAGTGGCCCATATTCATGCCTCAATTCTACACGGCATTAATTAAATATGGCATTTCTAGAAAGGCTATAGCTTATAGATTATGAACATGGTCATGGAATTTATAGAGTGGCCTATATTCATGCCTCAATTCTACACGGCTCCAAACGCCGGCAAGAATGCCAGCCTGAGATTCAACTAAACAGCATGCAATTAACGACAGTCTAAGGTCTCTGACTCTGGAATTATTATTCCATTAGGCATTATGCACTTCAACAAAAGACTCGCGATTTTCATGTAATAAAAAGAGAATTACTCTTATTTATTTTGATATAGAAAACTGTTGGGAAGCCTTTGAAGTATCTGTTCGACGTGGAACGGATTTTGGCGGCTATGACAAATGTAGACAGGGATCCAAGCGAGGCCTGGAGAGAAGTCAATGGTTTTTGGGGGAAAGTTATGTGTGAACTTGGAATGAAGAACAAGCGCCTTGTTCGGAAAAACTACTATCAGCAATGGTGTGAAGACAGAAAAGGTTTGAGAAGTCAATATACGAACACTATGTATATGATGGAACGGAATGCAACGCCTGAAGTGATGGCCATGGACATAAGTAATCTTTTAAGGCTAAGGAAGGCTAAGCATTAGCCATTACTGCTGAGACATGTTGAAATTATAAACGAAACAATTTTGCCCAACTTATCCGAGTAATCATCATGCAATATTTTAAAATGTATAAATTGGTCTTTATTCTTTACTAGAATATACTAGAGTCTAAATCTAATATATTAATATTATTTTTAATATGTGCTTGTTTAATGTTGATTGTAAAGTATAAATATAAACCAAACTGAACTGTGCCCTGTGCTGTGCCTTTTAAAATATTTGCGAAAGGTTGGTAAGTCCTGTAATTTGCATACTCGAATCTTTATCAAAATATTTAAAAGGATTTGTGGGCACACAGTTGCACCAGTTAGCTCATTACAGACATTGGTCATTACGACATTCATTGACAATCATTAGACTTTAGCGTCTTTACGCATTCAGAATATATCACAAATTGAACTACTAAGTCTGATGCAACAACGTCTTGGCCCCAAAAAAACAAATTTTAAATGGAAAATGCTAATAGTAACAATAACTTCTTACAGAGTATGGCCAAAATTTGACTGCAATTTATACACTTTTGCGGTATATACCTATATAGTACTATACTCTACAGGAGCGGAATATCCTTCTTCAACACATGCAATGATGACACGTAATGATGCTGTTCCGGTGTTCCCTTGTTATGGTGTTCCTGGTCAGCTACTAATAGCCGAAGGATTTTGCATTTTGACTGTATTAAACAGTTTCTTAATTTGCATTAAAAGTGTTTTGTTTATGATTGCAAGTTTAGGCGGTAAATTTCCTGTGTATAAACACCGCTTCTCGACCAATCACCACACGCATACTATAAATGTTCTATTTTATCATAATTTATGCATTTGGTATCGCTCATGTAAAGCACGGCAGTATAAATCAACATATGCTTCAGCCGTGTAGCACGCCTGAACCAGGCGAACTTATTAATTTAGCCGTGCTTAATATTATGTGCAGTGCTTAATTGACTTAGACGCAACCTGTTTCATAGGGTCTCACACCTCCGCCACGCCCCCCAAACAGCGATAATTTGTGGAATATTTCCATTATGAAGCTATGTTTTGTAGGTCTCATATATCTGTGCTTTAATATTACTACACAATTTAATTATTTAATAAAAAGAGAATTACTCTTATTTATTTTGATATAGAAACTGTTGGGAAGCCTTTGAAGTATATGTTCGACGTGGAACGGATTTTGGCGGCTATGACAAATGTAGACAGGGATCCAAGCGAGGCCTGGAGAGAAGTCAATGGTTTTTGGGGAAAAGTTGTGCGCGAATGAAGAACAAGCGCCTTGTTCGGAAGAACTATTATCAGCAATGGTTTCAAGACAGAAAAGGTTTGAGAAGTCAATATATGAACACTATGTATATGATGGAACGGAATGCAGCGCCTGAAGTGATGGCCAAGGACATAAGTAATCTTTTTAAGCCTAAGGAAGGCTAAGCATTAGCCATTACTGCTGAGACATGTTGAAATTATCAACAAAACAATTTTGCCCAACTTATCCGAATAATCATCATGCAATATTTTAAAATGTATAAATTGGTCTTTATTCTTCACCAGAATATACTAGAGTCTAAATCTAATATATTAATATTATTATCAATATGTGCTTGTTTAATGTTGATTGTAAATAAAAATATAAACCAAACTGAACTGTGTCTTGTGCTGTGCCTTTTAAAATATTTGCGAAAGGTTGGTAAGTACTGTAATTTGCATACTCGAATCTTTATCAAAATATTTAAAAGCATTTGTGGGCACACAGTTGCACCAGTTAGCTCATTACAGACATTAGTCATTACGACATTAATTGACAATCATTAGACTTTAGCATCTTTACGCATTCAGAATATATCACAAATTGAACGACTAAGTCTAAGTCTAATGCAACAACGTCTTGGCCCCAAAAGAACAAATTTTAAATCGAAAATGCTAATAGTAACAATAACTTCTTACAGAGTATGGACAAAATTTAACTGCAATTTATACACTTTTGCGGTATATACCTATATAGTACTATACTCTATAGGAGCGGAATATCCTTCTTCAACACATGCAATGATGACACGTAATGATGCTGTTCCGGTGTTCCCTTGTTATGGTGTTCCTGGTCAGCTACTAATAGCCGAAGGATTTTGCATTTTGACTGTATTAAACGGTTTCTTAATTTGCATTAGAAGTGTTTTGTTTATGATTGCCAGTTTAGGCGGTAAATTTCCCGTGTATAAACACGCTTCTCGGCCAATCAACACACACGTACTATAAATGTTCTATTTTATCATAATTTATGCATTTGGTATCGCTCATGTAAAGCACGGCAGTATAAATCAACATATGCTTCAGCCGTGTAGCACGCCTGAACCAGGCGAACTTATTAATTTAGCCGTGGTTAATATTATGTGCAGTGCTTAATTGATTTAGACGCAACCTGTTTCATAGGGTCTCACCTCCGCCACGCCCCCCAAACAGCGATAATTTGTGGAATATTTCCATTATGAAGGTATGTTTTGTAGGTCTCTTTTATATGTGTGCTTTAATATTACTACACAATTTAATTATTTTGATATAGCAAACTGTTGGGAAGCCTTTGAAGTATCTGTTCAACGTGGAACGGATTTTGGCGGCTATGACAAATGTAGACAGGGATCCAAGCGAGGCTTGGAGAGAAGTCATTGGTTTTGGGGGAAAAGTTGTGCGTGAACTTGGAATGAAGAACAAGCGCCTTGTTCGGAAGAACTATTACCAGCAATGGTTTGAAGACAGAAAAGGTTTGAGAAGTCAATATGCGAACACTATGTATATGATGGAACGGAATGCAATGCCTGAAGTGATGGCCATGGACATAAGTAATCTTTTTAAGGCTAAGGAAGGCTAAGCATTAGCTATTACTGCTGAGACATGTTGAAATTATCAACGAAACAATTTTGCCCAACTTATCAGAGTAATCATCATGGAATATTTTAAAATGTATAAATTGGTCTTTATTCTTTACTAGAATATACTAGAGTCTAAATCTAATATATTAATATTATTATTAATATGTGCTTGTTTAATGTTGATTGTAAAGTATAAATATAAACCAAACTGAACTGTTCCCTGTGCTGTGCCTTTTAAAATATTTGCGAAAGGTTGGTAAGTACTGTAATTTGCATACTCGAATCTTTATCAAAATATTTAAAAGGATTTGTGG